GCGGGGGGAGGGGGGCAGGTCTCAGGAAGGCTGAGGGCAGTGAGAAGGGCAGGAGTCAGGACAGCAGAGGTGGTTGGGGGGCAGCAGGCACCAGGGGAGCTGATGGAGCAAGCGGAGGAGACAGAGCAGCAGAGGGGAAAGGTGGAGGTTCATAAGATATTTATTAATAACTTGGGTGCCACAATGGCACATCCAAACAAGCCACAAACTCAGTGCTGGTGCACAACACAAAATCCATTCTGCTCATGGGAGGAAACTCTTAGAGGGAACACTTCCCCCAGCCTCTCCACCCCCGAGTCAACGTCACACACATTGGGTTAATGCAATTGCAGGATAGTTGCATAAGGGGGATTTGGTGGGGGCCAAACTAATCCCTATGGGTAGGAGGATGGTGGGAAAAATCCTTAAGGGGGGGGTCAGATGACACCTTTTATTTCTGGTCATGTGTCCATATTGCCCCGAAAGTGTTACCTCCAGAGGCGTGGCTAATGGGGGTCAGAGGGTGTGGCTAATGGGGGTCAAAGAGTACATTTTAAAAAAATTCTTTGGGTACACACCCTAATGAAATGTGCTGCACACGCCTATGCCTGGATTGTTAACCTGACTGAGTACAATGTCTCCAGAGATGTAATTACAGATGGGCATATTAATAATTAATTATCCGGATGATGGGATGGATTGTGCCCTCAGCAGGTTTGTGGAAGGTGGGGGCAGAGATACATATGCTGGATGATAAGGGATAGGATCCAAAGTGACCTAGACAAATTGGAGCATTGGGCCAAAAGAAACCTGACGAAGGTCAACAAGGACAAGTGCAGAGTCCTTCACTTAGAACAGAAGAATCCGACGCACTGCTACAGGCTGGGGACCGACTGGCTAAGCAGCAGTTCTGCAGAAAGGACCTGGGCTGTACAGTGGATAGGAAGCTGGATATGAAGCAACAAGGGCACATTGTTGACAAGAAAGGTAACAGCATATTGGGCTACATTAGTAGGAACGTTGCCAGCAGATTGGGGGAAGTGATTATTCCCCTCTATTTGGCACTGGTGAGGCCACATCTGGAGTATTTGCTTCTAGTTTTGGGGCCCCCACTACAGAAAGGATGTGGACACATTGAAGAGAGTCTAGGGGAGAGCAATGAAAATTATTAAGAGGGTGGGGTGCATGACTTATGAGGAGAGGCTGAGGAAATTGGCGTTGTTTACTCTACAGAAGAGTGAGGGGGGATTTCACAGTGGCCTTCAGCTACCTGAAGAGAGGTTCCAAAGAAGATGGAGAGAGGCTGTTCACAGTGGTGACGGATGGCAGAACAAGGAGCAATGGTCTCAGGTTGCAGTGGGGGAGGTCTAGGTTGGATATTAGGACAAACTAATTCACTAGGAGGGTGGTGAAGCACTGGGATGGGTTACCTAGGGAAGTGGTGGAATCTCCATCCCCAGAGGTTTTTAAGTCCCAGCTTGAGAAAGCCCTGGCTGGGATGATTTAGTTGGGGTTGGTCCTGCTTTGAGCAGGGGGTCAGACTGTATGACCTCATAAGGCCACTTCCTACCCTAATCTTCTGTTATTCTATTCTGTTATTTTTATAACTAGTTCTATGACATCATTAAGGATCAGAATATTTTTTTAAAATCATGTCTTCAAGTTTTTAACAGCTCAGGAGGTTTCCATTTGTGGGATATGTCTATACAGGCTCACACTTGGCACGTGCAAAAAATATGAATTTTTTTTTACTAAAAATAGCGTATGTGCGCAGCAAACCATTGTTATGGAAGACAAATGAAAGTCCTTCTTTGTTTTCTTATTTTAATTCTCAAAAAGCATAGATAAGGCCTAGTCAACAGTATACATTGTGGACTAAATGCCCCCAAAATTTAATTTTAAATAATAACTCTATATGCATTCTAAAACATTAAAAAACTTCTACTGAAAACACAGACCTCTCTGTGTTTCTTCTTTTAGTGATAACAGTACTTCATCCTTAACTACACTTTTCCAGGACCTTAAAACACTTCAACAAGCATGGATCAAACATGAATAGAACCTACAGACAGTCCTGTGAGAGAGGGGGTGTGATACCAGTGTTACAACTATTCACATTTCATTTCTGCGACCGGAATATCGAATTTAATTACTATTTAATTTGTCTTGAGAAATGAAGAGGTCCAGAGCACCTTTGTTTGTCACATTGATGCCAGCCCCACTACTCACAGGTAAGTGAACTGCTGACAACAGGAGTTGGCAGCGAAGCTCTGTCCGCAGCTTAGTTGTAGCAATTAGAGCAGAGTGAAATGTTGCCGACTGAGCCTGGTTCTACTCTCATGTTTTACGGGAAAGCAGGATCCAACTCTTAATGTTGTAAATATTATTAATGTGCTGCACTTTTGATTATTCAGATAATGCTGTTACTGTTTTACTGTTCTGCAAACTGGCTTGTAAATTCTGTCATTGCCAAAACTTTTAAATAGTTCCCACCACAGTTTATTCCAGAATATTCTGTTCCTCTCATAGGGAGTCTGTGAATTTGCAAAACAACACAAATGTGGTATTTTATTTAATGATTTGAATGTTCCCCATGCAGAGTATTAACTGTCTATTCTTCCACCAAGAACAATAGATATTTCCTTTGCCACAACTCTTCTGCATTTTATATTTTTAAACCCACCCAGGATCTTACCTTTTTTCCTTCTTCTCAGCAAAAAACAAGTGAGGATGGAAACTGGTAATATTTATTGTCTGTGTCTGGAGACTTTGGCTATTTCTTTTTCAATTTTTGTTGTTAAAAGCTTTAAAAAACAGAAATAAAAACAAGCCCCACCACCGCTCCCTGGTCACGGTTTTCCTGGGTTTAGAAGGAAGGCTTGAGCCTGCAGCAAAACCTCAGTTGAGTAGGCACTGGGAGAAGCACTAAAGAAGCAACTAGAGATGTGTCTCAAAGTCTAGACTGACGGTGTTCCTATTATATCTATCCCACATTTTGCAAGCCTTTGTTCCCCAGTCTCCTATGAGCTACATAATGAGATATATTGTACTTATTTTAGAGCCCATCACATTCTACTGACTCATTTATAACAGACCTCATTCTTGTTTATTTGGCACCTGATCTTGAGAGAGGAGCTGAGATCCCCACAACTCCCATTGACATCAGCAGGTGCTCAACACCTCTCCATTAGACTGTAAGCTCCTCAGGGCAGGGTCTGTGTCTGTACAGTGCCATGCACACTGGTAGTACTATAGAAATCAGAATCCAAAGTAAGCACAGAAGACAAAACCTGGGACTTACGTTTGACAGTGCTACGAGATTCCTGGAACCCGGCTGACTCTGAACCCCAGCCCAGGGATTCACACTCTCGCTCCTCCCCTTGCCCATGTCTGGTGCTTGTGCCTGCACCTCCTCTGCCCTTCTCTGCCAGCCAGCACATCTTCCATAGCCCCACAGTGCGCTTACGCCCATCCTCCAGGGTCTGGTACACCCAGTTGGGAGTAAATGCAGCTGCGTTGTTAAGAATAAGTGAGACCAGGGCTACCAACACTGCTGTGGCTACCAGTTTCTGGATAGTCATATCTGACTGTCGATCGCTGCCAGTCTCTATTTGCAGAAGATCCAAGGTCCTGATGAGCTGCAGCACATTGAAGTAGGACTTGAAGTAGGAGGCAGCTGCAGTATGGTGTTATGGGGGGCTAGAGAACATCACCGTTCATTCTCAAAGGTGACTCCTAAGGTCTGTCTGGCCGAGCAGGTAAGAACAGCATCAGGTAGGTAGAAGAATTCCATAAAATACAAAGACAAGGAGAGCTTGCTGGTCTCTGTCTTTCCAAGCTGTGCCTTATCCACCTTCCTGCGCCTGGATGAGCAAAGCCAGTCCTGTGGTGACCTGAAGAACAAGGAGGTCCATTGTTTGTGGGACAAGGCAAAGCCAGAGAGTATCCAGAGTCTTGAAAGTAAGAAAAGCTGGGTTGTTCCTGGGAAAACGGAGACTGAAATGCTTGCAAACACAGTGCCCCAATTCTTCAGAATGCAGCCGTAAGGGGAGAAAGAGACTCACAGGAGAGTCATGCAACAACAGCTCTGCAAGTTTTTTCAGCCGCAAAACTCAGAACATCCCACAAACAGAGGGAAACTTCATTCTAAAAGCCAAGCCGAATTTGAAATGAATGCCTTCATCTCCAAAGTGCTCTGGAAGTTTGAAGTACCCTGAGGAATCTGCTCCTCTCCGGTTTCTCTCACACTGTCAGAGCAGCGAGTGAAAGAGGCTTGAGAGTAGAAACTCTGCTCTGAGGAAGTGGTTTTTTCCCCTCCTCCTCTTTCTCTCAACAGAGAGGAAATGGTTTAGCCGACTGTAACAAACAGCCACTGCCACAGCAGTCAAACGTTTAACAGGATGTATTTCCTGAAAGGAAAAGACTATGGAGACTTCTGAAATCCTACTCGTCTCCCCCCACCACTTTTCACCTCCTTCCAGTGGCCCCCTTCTTCCTCCTCCTCCTTTTCTAGACAGAATAGTAACCAACCAACCAACCAGTCAGTCAGAGCAGCAGGATGCTGTGGGACAAAAGGGGTTTTGATCAGTTTGTGCATCTGAAGGGATTACAAGAAACAAATCAGTGATCACACCACACATCCCAAACAAACAACAAACCCATGAATTTAACCACAATATCCACTCTGCAGAGGCAAACACAGGGGAGCATTTGAGGACTTTCTTGGGTGTCCTATATTGAAAGCAAACTGCACGAGAATTTTACATGTAAAATAAAAGCAGCGTAGCTGTTGCCATGTCAGTTCCAGGATGTTAGAGACATGCAAACTGTGACGGTTACATAGCATAGAAATACTATGGCTCAGATGTTGCCCTTTTCCTATATGGAATTCTAAGGGAGATGCGCACCAGATGAGTGGAGGGACTCTAAGGCAGAGTTCTCAACCTGGGGTTTCAAACAAGTATGAGACTACATTGCCCTGTTGGGGAAAGAAGGGCACTAATGGACAGCTCTGAGGTGGTTCTCCAATGGTGGGGTTGCATTATTGAACAGTTTGAGAACCACTGCTCTGATGCATTCTGCCAGTGCTGGGCCCACACCTCAGTCCTGACTTGCTTTGCCTCCTTGTGGCTCTGCAACTCTGCTGGGAAATCTGGTGGCCCACCTTCAGTCCAACTGATGTAGTTAAAACCAATACAAACCTACAAAAAGCAGTAGTCCTGTACCATCTTAGACTAACACATATATAATATAGAGAGAGAGAATATATCATGAGCTTGCATGGGCAAAACTCGCTTCCTCAGATCTGTGTGAAGATTCTTAGTTTAGTTTAAGAGCAGATATTTTTGGGGTGTAACTTAAATGTATCTGGGAATAGGGTTAAAGCTAAACCAAAATACGTGTACACACAGGAGTTTGCACCAACTTGACTAAAAACCAAACTAAATTAAAGCCAATGCAACATTACCAAGGAGGCAAGAATTTATGTGACATCTCCTTCAGTTACTGCACCGCAGCTCAGAGTGCTGTTGGCATGAGAAGTTATAACTATCTGCCGAACATTCCCTCACAGCCAATCCTTCTACATTATCTTAAGCTTCCCTTCCTAAGAAAGGATGCGCTTGTGTGTCCCTTAAATGCACAACAGTTGAAGACTTATAAATGTCTAAGAAAGAAGGAAATAAGGCTTATTGGCTTAAGCTCCAGGTACTTAAAATGCTTTATTGATTGAGCAGAATGAGCTAAAGGTATTTGCAGTGTTCATATGGCTGACTTTGGTTGTGGAATCAGAAAGCATGCTCTATCTGACATCAAAGGTATGTTTACACTGCAGTAAAAATCTTGTGGCACTAATCCAAGAACCTGCAATGGAACTGGGCATGTGGGTTCATGCTGTGGGGCCAAAATTTGCAATGTCAGTGTTTGGGCTCAGAGACTCCCGCTACGCAAGGTCTCCTCATAGGTCCGACTTTTGACCTGGCCAAAACATCTGCACTGCAGTCTGTAGTCCCATAGCCTGAGCCTCCTTCCATCCCTCTAACCCTGAGTTAGCTGACCCACACACTTACACAGAATCATAGAACCGGAAGAGGCCTCTAGAGGTCACCGAGTTCAGTCTCCTGCACTCACGGTAGGACCAAGCACTGTCTAGATCATTCCTGACAGGTGTCTGTCCAACCTGCTCTTAAATATCTTGGCTGTGTCTAGACTGGCCACTTTTTCCGGAAAAGCACTTTTTGTGGAAAAGTGTCCGTGGCCAATCTAGACGCGCTTTTCCGCAAAAAAGCCCCAATCGCGAAATGGCGATCGGGGCTTTTTTGCGGAAAACAAATCTCTGCTGTCTACACTGGCCCTTCTGCCCAAAAGTCTTTCGGAAAAAGACTTTTGCCTGAACGGGAGCAGCACAGTATTTCCGCAAAATCTTACATGAGATCGTCAGTGCTTTTGCAGAAATTCAAGCGGCCAGTGTGGACAGCTGGCAACTTTTTCCGGAAAAGCACTTTTTGTGGAAAAGTGTCCGTGGCCAATCTAGACGCGCTTTTCCGCAAATGCTTTTAGTGGAAAACTTTTCCGTTAAAAGCATTTCCGGAAAATCATGCCAGTGTAGACGTAGCCCTTCAGTGATGAAAATTCTATGACCCCCCCCCAGGCAATTTATTCCAATGTTTAACCACCCTGACAGGAAGTTTTTTGTGGTGTCCAACCTAAACCTCCCTTGCTGCAATTTAAGCCCATTGCTTCTTGTCCTATCCTCAGAGGCCAAGGAGAACAATTTTTCTCCCTCCTCCTTGTAACATTCTTTTAGATACTTGAAAACTGCTATCATGTCCCCTCTCAGTCTTTTCTTAAACGAAACAAGCCCAGTTCTTTCAGTGTTCCCTCATAGCTCATATTCTCTAGACCTTTAATCATTTTTGTTACTCTTCTATGGACCTTTTCCAATTTCTCCACAACTTTCTTGAAATGTGGTGCCCAGAACTAGACACAGTACTCCAATTGAGGTGTAATCTTCTGCCGAGGAGAGCAGAAGAATGACTTCTCGTGTCTTGCTCACAACACTCCTGTTAATGCATCCAAGAATCATGTTTGCTTTTTTGCAAGTGTCACTCTGTTGACTCATGTTTAACTTGTCATCCACTATGACCCCTAAATCCCTTTCAACACTGCTTCTTCCTCAACAATCACTTCCCATTCTGTATGTGTAAAATGGATTGCTCCTTCCTAAGTGGAGCACTTCGCATTTGTCCTTATTAAACTTCATCCAGTTTAACTTGGACCATTTCGCTAGTTTGTCCAGATCTTTTTGAATGTTGACCCTATCCTCCAAAGCACTTGCAACCCTCTCCTCTTGGGATCATCTGCAAATTTAATAATCCTACTCTCTATTCCAGCATCTAAATCATTGATGAAGATATTGAACAGAATCGGTCCCAAAATAGATCACTGCGGAACCCCACTTGTTATACCCTTCCAGCAGGATTGTGAACCGTTTATACCTACTCTCTGGGAATGGTTGCCCAGCCAGTTATGCACTCACCTTATAGTAGACCCATCTAGGTTGCATTTCCCTAGTTTATTGATAAGACGGTCATGCAAGACCATGTCAAATGCTGTATTAAAGTCTAGGTATACCATGTCCACCGCTTCTCCCTTATCCACAAGGCTTGATATCCTATCAAAGAAAGCTATCCGATTGGTTTGACATGATTTGTTCTTTACAAATCCATGCTGGCTGTTCCCTATCACCTTATTAACTTCCAGCTGTTTGCAGATGGATTCCTTAATTACTTGCTCCATTATCTTCCCTGGCACAGAAGTTAAACTGACTGTCCTGTAGTTTCCTGAGTTGTTCTTATTTCCCTTTTTTTATAGACGGGCACTAGATTTGCCCTTTTCCAGTCTTCTGGAATCTCTCCTGACTTCCATGACTTTTCACAGATGACAGCTAAAGGCTGAGCGATCTCCTCTGTCAGCTGCTTGAGTATTTGAGGATGCCTTCCATTAGGCCCTGGTGACTTGCAGGCATCTAACTTTTCTAAGTCATTTTTAACTTGTTCTTTTATTTTATTTTTACTTCTAAACCTACCCCATTTCCACTAGCATCCATGATGTTAGGCATCCTGTCACCATCCATCTTCTTGATGAAAACTGAAACGAAGACAGTAAGCACCTCTGCCATTTCTAAGTTTTCTGTTACTGTTTCTCCCTCTTCACTGAGCATTGGGCCTACCCTGTTCTTGGTCTTCCTCTTGCTTCTAATCATAGAATCCTAGAGCTGGAAGAGACCTCAGGAGGTCATCGAGTCCAGCCCCCTGCCCAAAGCAGGACCAGTCCCAACTAAATCATCCCAGCCAGGGCTTTGTCAAGCTGAGACTTAAAAACCTCTAAGGAGGGAAATTCCGTTCCCTAATATACTTGTAGAACATCTTCTTGTTACCCTTTGTGCCCCTAGCTAGATTGAGCTCGTTGTGTGCCTTTGCCTTTCTAAGCTTGTCCTGCATACCTGTTTTGTTTGCTTATATTCATCCTTTGTCATTTGACCTAGCTTCCACTTTTTATACAACTCCTTTTGGATTTTGAGATCATAAGCCCATCCATAGGACAGTTTGGAGTGACTGCCCTGGGCCCCGCACTCTAGGGAGCCCTGTGGCGCCCATTGCAGCCTGGCGGCTACCAGGGACAAAGTGACCTGGCCCTATCCTGCTCCACTTCCCCAGTGACACAGCTGAGAGCCAGGGGAAGGGCAGGGGAAGGGACTTGGGCTGGGTTGCTCTGCTTCCTGTCGCTGTGGTAAGTGCAAGGGAGCCAACCCCTGCCGCCAGCGCCAGGGCACCCTGGTAATATCCCAAGCCACATTGCTTCCCCTGAGCTCGGGGGAAGGGGCGCAGTGGATATGGAGCAGGAGCAGGAAGAGGTGGGGCAGAGGTAGAGCTTGGGAATGGAGCTGGCCAGAGGCGGGGCAGCAAGAGGCAGGTCAGAGTGGAGTAGGTGTAGGAAGAGATGGAGCCTGGGGCGGAAAGAGGGGGTGTCCTGGGCCTTGTCCCACACCAAGTTACAGCTCTGCTGGTCCAGGCCAGCTGCGGCCATCCCATAGGTCTTTCACTGCAGCGTAGATATATCCAAGATGACCAACCAGGTTCTTATAGACTCCTATTTTCAGGAGTTTATAATTTCATTGTATTTCATGTGTCCTTTGTCTGCCAATTGTTAGTCATGTCTCATGTAAGTAATGCATTTAATTATAAAATTGCTGAATACAGTCAGCCCAACCATTTTAAGTCCCTCCACTTCTGCTCTTCTTCACACAGTTTCCGTTTTAGAACATCCTGTCATTCTTCTAAAG